TGATTCTGTGCTCCAGGTGATGGTAGCAGGTGAATGAATAGTTTTCAACCTGCAGCCTGTCAGAGGTGAGCCTGATTTTATTTAATATACCAGATTTGTCTATTATTTAGCATATGGATGCAGTGGGACATCGTTTCATCCTTAGAGCTGAGCACAATCCTAAATATCTTCCACATATTCGTCCCTCAAGTGACTTTTTTTAGACAATATTGGATTGGTTAAAATTGGTCACTCCAGTAAACTTCAAATCTGAAATCATCATGGTGTCACTGTGACTAAGGTACTTGATTTTTATTGTTACAATAAGCTGTTGAGGTTGTGCTTTGCCTGTCAGCACCTGTGTGTCTGATCAGACTTAAAGCTGTTTGTTTGCTCTTACTGACATTGTTTCCTTTTTATAGATCCTTGTTTGTGTTTTACTTACTCTCTGATGTATGTTGCTTTAGATAAAAGCGTCTGCTAAGGAATTGTAGAATGCAGAGAAATAATAATAATAATTGAAAAAGAGTGAATACTGATTCTGATGGGTTTGTGTAAATCACTGTGGAGAGTCAGTTATAACTGTGGTGTGGTGGTTGAAGAAAGGGTTAATCATCGGGGTTTTAGGTTCCTTTAATCTGAATGATAGGAATCTATGAATTCTGGATTTGTGGAATTGTCTGTCTGGCTACACATTCAAATATTAGAAATGCTAAATACACACATCAGCTTTCTTACACCATGCTGTCTAAATGAACATAAACAATATGCATTTAGCTTCCAAATAGCTCAAAGAATGCTAACAAATTAAAAGTATTTCCAGTAATGCTAACAGAAAGAAAAGTATGAAATAAACACAAAAAGAACTTCTATTATTGAAGCACAATCTCCAGCTCTCACCAAAACATAAATTTTACTTCTTGACTGCAAAACTTGTACTTTCGATGCTGACTTTCTCTCTCTTACTGCAGCTTCTCCACATGTGCAATCTCTCCTCTGGAGTTGTTAGTCTTAAAGGGGCAGGGGTCTTTTTTTACAATAATACTTTATTTGTATGGCACATTTCAATACAGGTAACAAAATGCTTTATGACAGACAATAAAAGCAAACCGAATATAAAAGCAGCAGACAGGCAGTAATACAAACAGATTAAAAAAGCTTTTTTGTAAAACAATGTCTTAAGTAGAGAATTAAAACGAAGGACTGACTCTGCATGTCTGATCTCCTCTGGCAGGCTGTTCCAAAGTCTGGGGGCTCTGTCAACAAAAGCCCTGTCCCCTTTAGTTTTCAGCCTGGACCTTGGAACAGCCAGCGGAGATCTGCCAGAGGATCTCAGACTGAGTCCTGGTTCATAAGGGGTTAAAAGCTCAGAAATGTAAATATGACAATACTGTCATAACTTAATGTTGATGCCAGTGAACCAAAGTTTTGTCTACAGTTGAGATGAAGCACATAAACGCTCTCTGATTATGTTGACTCCATCAGAAATCCACAGTAACATCACTTCATTGGACACTTTGGGAAACATTGAGAGGCTTAAGATATGAAGAGCAAGAGCTATTCAAGCAACACCTGCTGCATATCGCCCAAGAAAAAGGCCTCCCAGCCCCAGAACGACAAGTGAAGACGGCAGGCAGAGATGATATAGTGATGCTGATGGTGGACATCTATGGCCAACAGTCTGTTGAGCTGACCAAAGACGTTTTATACAGAATGAACAAGACTGATCTGCTAAAGACGCTCTCAAGGACCAGCTCAGGATTCAACACTGAGAGTAAGAGGATGAAAACTGACACATTACACAAATATATATGCTTCATTAAATACTAAGACTACAGACATTGTTGAGCTGAATCAAGCCTCCTTGTTTTTGTGACGTTAATAATGAGTACATTTAAGTTTAACTTTTTGCCAAATACCGCACATCCAACCCACATAAGTTATACATTTTTTTTTTTTTAAGATGTTGAGATGGTGCCATGTTATATTTTATTCACAAAATGACTAAAACTGACTAAAGCTGCTTTTTGTCTGATTTTATTGAGTCCTTTTCTCTCCCCCCTTAGAGAAACTTCAGCAAAAAGGTCCACAACATGTGAGTAATGTTACATCAGACACTCTACAGTTTTCATTTCTAACTATTTAATTAACAATATTTACTTACTTTTTTGATGAAGCAGGAATCAACCATGACACCGGTCCATTCACAGCTTTTAGAAACACTGGAAGAATTAGGTTCAGGGGACCTGGAGAAATTCAAACATGCCTTGCTCCACACTAAAATGAAAGAAGGGCTCCCAAAAATCCCAAAGGACCAAGTGGAGACCGCAGACAAAGATGAGATAGTGAAGCTGATGGTGGAGATCTATGGCCAACGCTGTGTGGAGGTGACTAAGGATATTTTAGAGAGATGAACAGGACTGATCTGGTCGGAAAGTTGTCAGAAAGCAGCTCAGTATCTAAAGGTAAGTTTTAAAAAAAGTGTTATTTGACTATAAAACATTAGGTGTACAGAACCTGGACTGCATTTTTAAACCTCTATCTTTTTTTTTGTTTTATAATGCTTCTGTGACGCTGATCAGCAGGGGACAGAGGCAACATGTGTTTAGGCTTTTCTGTCCATTTGTTTGTTGAATGTCCCATGTTTTTAGCTAGAGTGTCTGGAGTAAATATCTTTAAACTTTGCACAAACAACCACTAGGATAAAGCAATAGTGTGGTCAATCAAAGGTTAAGGTCACTCACCTCACATCAGTCCCATTCTCATGATAGCAAAATCACAGCAATGGATAAAGGGATTATGTTGGATGGGATGTTGTTTTTAAAAAAAAAGTCTGATAGAACATCATGCGTACAAATTCTCAAAATGTAGGTCCAAAGTTTTGAACACACTACCCTTTTTCTTCATGTTTTTTTTTCTCCAGCTGTTAGAGAAGGGTTTAATGACATTCACATGCTCTGCAGACAAACACAGATAAAAAAAAAAAAAAAACACCTTTTCCAGGTCAGTGTTCTATAACCCCGACCCGACGGCAGAAAATAAGAGATACATATAAGAGATGTAAGGTTACTATTCGATAATATATGTCTGAGTAACATACTTTAAAGAAACCTTTGTGTCTTTCCAAGGGCCTTTTGGTTGTGTGGAGCCTGACGACTGTGGACAAGAAATGGTAATCCCATCCATCATTCATTTGTTCCGTTTCTTTTTAATTCAGTATTTATTTTATTTATTCATTCATTGTTGCCAATATAAAATGATTGTCTCTCTCAGCCGGACTCTGGTCACTGGACCAAACTTGATCCTGAAGTGAACAGTACTGATGGAGATGAGTCTCCTACATACAGGTACAAATATCTTCCTTAATACTGACCAACAGCAAATGAGAAAAACAATACTTTTCTTTGTTACTCCTTTTGTGCCTAAAACACTACAGTACAGTTATATACAAACTCATTGATGTCTTTCTGTGTCACTTAGCCTACAGAGTGAAGTAGGAAACGGTTTTGAATGCAATGTCTCCGGCATTCGCTGGATCTGTAAGGATAAGGTCAGCTTTCAGTACAAGTTTTGCTCTTGGGAGGAACACATTGAGAGGATGGAAAGCTTGAAATACTTGCCTGCAGGTCCTCTAATGAACATCAAAGTCATTGCTGGAAAGTTTGATGAAGTGTACCTGCCACACTGGATCTGCATAGGTGAGTGGAAATATAGAAAATAACTTAAAGGTCACATATTATCCTCCTTTTAACCCAGTTTAAATATGGTAAGTCTCAGAGGTCCCCAAAACATGCCTGTGAAGTTTCTTGCAAAAAAATCCACGACTATTGTTTAGGGCAGACTCAGGGCAGAACAAACACCGGGTGTCACCCACCTGGGAAGGGGTTACTGCCCTTTGTGATGTCAAAAGGGGAAATCTCCAAACGACTTGTTTGAGCACACATATTCTAAAAAAGGGAACAGGCTTTTCTCATAATTGGGTTTGGACAGACTATGGACACATATTAGTGTTCTGAAAACATGGTGAAGTGTATTTTGCATAATATGTGACCTTTACAATTGAGCAACTAACATCATTTAAAAGAAAAACTGATGCAATTATTTCTTTTCACTTATGTGTGCATTTGTATTTTGTGCAGACGGCAACACTGACATATTAGGAGAGTTTGCCGTCCTCCACATCGATGACTGTGGTGATGTTGTGGAACAAGTTTCCGAGGTCACGCCTTGCCATGTCAAGTTAGCTGAACCAGTTTTCTCGCCAAAGGGGTTCTGATCAGAGTTGGTGCGCGTGTGAAAACACGCTGCAGCGTGTTGATATTTAAGAACAACAAAGCATTCCTCAAGCTCAATGTTTATCTGATCCCGTGTGATCCTGGTCTTCGACAGGTTATTACTTATCCTGATTTCATAAATATAAGTGATTCAAATCATGATTGTACCAAAAATTATCACAAATCAGCTTTTGTTGCAACTTTCTATTGTGTTTTTTTTCTACAGGAAATTCTCAAGATTGAATCAACCAACGGAAACAAAGAAATTCGAAAACCACCTGAATATAAGCACTTGAGAATGAAGGATCGTTTTATCCTATCAACCGATATGGATGGTGCAGCAATTTGTCCCAAAGTATGTTTTGAGCTGCATTTAAATCTATGAACTGTGGTTCTGAATAGTTGGATACTGTTGGATAAGTCAAATTAAACAATAATTTAAAAGTAGGGTTGTCAATAATAATGCGTTAATCACAATGTGATTAAGGTCCAAATTGAATGCATTAATTTGTTGTAATCATCTATATTGTGTGCTTTATGACGCTTTCAGTGTACCATCGTAATCCCACCGCAGCGTCTTCTTTATTCTTGATGCCACAGAGATAGATGATAACAATAGCACTTCACTTTTGAATGGCTAATTCACACATTCCGCACAGTTGACAAATTAAGTAATAGGCACCTTGTGTCAAACAGAATTAAAAGATCAACAAAGTACGAGTGTGTTTTATACCTAGCATTTAAACAATATTTTGCAAGATACAGCAGATTTATCTTTTTATGTCTTTTTCATTCAAAAGAACATATCACCTTTTTGAAAAATGCATAAATTATAGCAATTTAAAAAAATCTGGTGCTACATTACTTCAATGTCTTTCACACATTTTTCCCCCACAGGAAGTCAAGCTCAAATATGAATTCACCGATCCACAGTACTTTCAAGTATGCATAAGAAATCCAGACACAGACTTCATCCTCAAGCTTACAAAAAAAAAAGAGAGTACACCAGTGTGGACCCGCACAATTGACGAAGGTTTGAATACATTAAAACTGTTTTTTTACTTAGAATTGTTACTGATGCAGAGTAGGTGACTGCTTTTAAACAAAGCAGCAGATCAAAAATAAATTATTGATGTAAGTATTTTACTTTTCACTTTTCAGATGATTACCAAAGCAATTCCCATGCACCAGGTAAGATAAAATAAGATAATCCTTTATTTATCCCACAGTGGGGAAATTTACATAAGGGTGGTGCCTCGGATTAGCTCTTCCAGGCGATGGTGAATGGACTTGATCTTGGAAAGTGTTTTTCTAGTTTCTGACTACTGAAAGCACTTTTACACCGCATGTCACACCTACCCATTCACACACTGATGGTAGTGGTCGCTATGTAGTGAGACCATCAGAAGTAACTAATCCCATTCACACACGCCGACAAACAGCAGGAGCAATTTGGGATTAATTGTCTTGCCCAAGGACACATCGGACAAGTTGCTGCAGGGATCAAACCCTCAACCTTCCGATTGGGAGACGACGACTCTACCAACTGAGCCATAGCCGCCCCCAGAAAGTTGGCTGGCTCCCTTTTCTGCCGCTTCATATGGGTTTTTGTTGAACCTTTCTTAGTCTTGGTCCCTATTCCGTAGTGCACCAGTTTGGACCCGCACAATTCGAAAAGGTTTGAATACACTAAAACGGGTGTTTAACTCTCTAGAATTATTAGTGAAAACAGAGTAGGTGTGTCCTTTTAAACAAAGCAGAAAGTCAAAAATAAATTATTGATCTAAGCATTTTACTTTTCAGATGATTACCAAGGCACTTCCCATGCACCAGGTAAGACATTTTAAGTAATCATTCTTTATGTGTTTGGAAGAACAACTCTATCTTTCTTACTGTCAGCATCACTGTTCGAGACGAGATGCTGAAAAAAAGGGAAATGATCAATATTAGATTTGGGGAATACATTATATCCGGTATTTTCACTGCTCTGCATTGTGGTAAGACAGTCCTCTCCTATGGCCCTGAGTCTTTTTCAACAGTCCAACATTTAGATCTTAACAGCCTTCGCACTGTGTTACACTATAATGGCTGTTAAGAAAAGAAATGACCACCATATTTATTTGTGATGTACTGTCGAGTGATATTGGCCATAGAAAATCAAAATCAACACTAGTTAAGTCTGCAGTGGACAATCCAAACTCTTGCTCTAAGGTGGGCCATTTGTGTGTTTTTTTTTTTTTAATACACACTTAAAAGGGAATTTGAAAATAGTGTTGATAAATTGTAGAGGTGGGGAAAAAAATCGATACATTATAGTATCACCATATTTTGCGTGCTGATATATCATGTCATGGCAGCTAAGTATAGATATTTTTGATATTGACAATTTATTTTGAACAAGTTGCATTGTTAAAAATGTCTGTAATTGTTCAGTCGTTTATACATGTTTAAATTCAGTAAAGTTTGATTTGACTGAAACACAAACAGTTCAGATTGTGAGGTGCATGCAGCCTTTAACAGGGTTTTACTTTTATCACAGAAATATGCCATGAAATTGAAATGTGCCATGTCACAACTAGATAAGACAAATCCTCCAGAGCAAATTATATTTCTTTATTATCATGTAGTATTATCGGCGTGGTCACTACCTGGAGTCTGCATAAATAGAGCCTAGCACTGTGTCTGAACTGTTAATGATTATTATTTGTTCTTATCTTACTCTGTTATCCTTTTTTTACACCGATTTTCTTTGAATGAAACCTTTACCCCCTAATTACTTTGTAATACTTTTTTGCAATTTAAAAAAAAAACGTTTTATTTGATGCTCTTCGTGTTGCCCTTTTGTGTGCTGTTCTGTTAGAGCAACCTGGCACAAGAGTTTACTTCATGATCGAAGTTCTTTTTTATATTCATATTTTTACCAGAAACATTTATGTAGCTTATTTCGCAAAAGAGTTTCACTTTATAATTTGCCGATAGAGAATGAATGCCAAAACTATACAGTTAACATAAATAAACCCACACTCAGCCCAGTTTGAAAACTACAGACCGGTTTCACTTCTGCCCTATCTGTCAAATGTAATCTAGCGCACAGTCTTTAATCAGGTCTCTGAGTTTCTATCCACAAATGATCTATTTGACCCAAATCAGTCAGGTTTTAAACGGGGCCACTCTACTGAGACTGCATTACTGCCCGTAACAGAATCGCTACGAGCGGCTATAGCTGCGGGATGGTCCTCTGTTCTACTGCTAGACCTGTCTGCTGCCTTTGACACAGCTAACCATCAAATCCTCCTATCCACGCTCTCTGAACTTGGCATCTCAGCATCTGCCTCTGCTGGTTCGTGTCCTACCTCTCAAGGAGATCTTTTAGAGTGTCTTGAAAGGGAGAAGTGTCAGAAGCACACAATTTATCAACAGGGGTGCCCCAAGGGTCAGTGCTGGTTCCCCTTCTCTTCTCCATATACACAAGCTCACTTGGTTCAATAATCCGCTCTCATGGCTTCTCATACCACTGCTATGCTGACAATACCCAGCTCTCTTCCTGTCATGCCTTGCTGATATCTCTACATGGATGAATGAACGGCACCTTTAACTCAACCGTTCAAAGTCTGAGCTCCTTGTCATCCCAGCCAGTCCCTCTATGCAACCACAGATCAATATCCAACTTGGTACAACCAAACTCATTCCCGCAAAGTCTGCCCGGAAGCTGGGTGTCGTGATTGATGACCAGCTAACATTTAAGGTTCAAGTGGCCTCGATTGCCCGGACATGTCGATTCGCCCGAGGGTTGTAAGACGCTAACTAGACTCTTCTCCTCTGTCGCCCCCCGGTGGTGGAATTTTATTTGCAGAGTCCCTTTGCACCTTTAAGAAAAAGCTTAAGACCCAGCTCTTTATGAACACCTACGACCTTAATGATATTATTGATGTCGATAATGATGATAATGACAATGACAATGGTTTTGTTTGGTAATTACATTATTTAGGCTGGTTTGATGCTGATTAGCACTCTCACGAAGAGCTGTCGGCACCTGTGTGTCTGATCAGACTTTAAGCTGTTTGTTCGCTTTTACTTACGTTTTTTCCTCCTTTTCTAGATCCTTGCTTGTGTTGTACTTATTCTCTGATGTTTGTCGCTTTGGATAAAAGTGTGCTAAATGAATTGTAGAATAAATCCACAGAAACGCAATGACATTTTGAATGTTAATTTCTGATGATCATATTTTTATCACTTTGCAATTCACACTTTCATTTTGTGATTCTAAAAGAATCTGACATCGCCAGATATGAAAGTAAATCATTTCATTTTTGTCTCCCCTTCAGAGGTGCACTTTGTGGATAAACACCAGTGTGACCTGAAAGCAAGGGTGAACAATATTGGACCAATATTGGATAAGCTACTGGAAAAAGGTGTAATCCGTCAAGAAGTTTATGATAAAATAAGAGATACCCCAACCACTCAGGAGAAGATGAGGAAGCTCTTTCGTGGTCCCCTAAAATCTGGAGGACAAAAAGCAAAAGACGTCTTCTACCAAATCCTTGAGGAGGAGGAGTCATATCTTGTGGATGATCTCAAAAGGAAGGAGTCTGGAGCGGGAGCAATCTGGAATTAAGTGTCTTGCCCAAGTACTCATCGGACATGTTGCTCAGGAGCTGCGGATCGAACCGGTTGAGAGAAGACCGTCTTTACCAATGAACCACATTCAGGAAAAGAAAAGTGTTTTTTGCCAGTGACCAAAAGACTGCATATCACATTTCAATACAAGGCTTCAGATTTAATTAAGGACATACAATGAAAGATGGCTGAGTTATCTTTCAGAAAACTGAAGCTATAATCAGCTGTCTCTCCGCAAACACAGCAAGACTCCTTCATACTAAAAAAAAGTATATTCAAATGTAGTGTTGTAGTCATGACCGCTCTAACCGAGACCAAGAATACCCGAGACGAGAATACTCCGAGAAGAACAAGACATTTAAGGATCGAGACTGAGTCCATAACCAAGACCAAGGCAGGTCGAGACCGAGACAAGAACTCGACCATAAATATCAATGAAAAATCATTATCTTGTGTGCAGGGGGACATGCCACTAATTTAGACCGTTACACTGGGAAGGTCTGGAGTCCGCCTTGTCTGATACCGAGACAAGACCGAGCCAAAATGCTTGCGATTCCTACACGAGATCAAGACCTCTACCGTTCAAGTAATACAACACTGTTCATATGTATATCCACATTTTAACCTTCCACGATTCTGCATATAGAACCTTGTTTTTAAAATTTTTGGAACAAATAATAATTTTTTTAATGAAGTCTATTTTCTTGCATTTCTCGTGTGCCAACATGAAAGTTAGAATCTGTAGAGGAGAAGATGGTACTCTTCTGCAAAATGCTGTCGAAAAATGTTTCTGTGATACCTATTGTAGGACCGAACGTCCAGTCAACCTGTACAAACAATTATTTTCATACACAAAGATATGTGACATATTGTTTGAATAGTTTGACTCCCTGGGCATTTATCAAAAAAAAAATAACCTTGGGACACCTAATATAGTCTAATCTGAACTGTTGCCCTACATCATATAGGCTACTTACTTTTCAATTGATGGTAATCTGATTGTAATGTGTGCTGCTCATTTATTTGTTTCATTTTTACGAGAAGAGGATATTATGCAAAATAAGCTCTTCTCAAACGTGTGTGTGCACAATTTGTATTTTATTTTGTTTTATTACTTTTATTTTACCCATATTAAATTAGTATTAAAGTATTAAATTGATCACAAGACATTTGAAAATAAACTGCTCACAAAAACCAAGGGAACACTTAAATCACAAATCAGATGTTGGTGAACGAATTGTTTAAGTGGAACATCTTCAGTGACATAGCCTATACGTTGTATGATTTGTTAGGAACAAATTGACGTAGCTAACGAGGGTCAATTGAAACCAAAATCTTCAACCCATTGAGGGCTGGATTCCAAATCACAGCGAAAGTAAAAACTACTGAAATCCCAGCCTTATCCAACTTTCATCACAACATCTCTTAATTTGACTCAGTCTGTATAAACTGTATGCACTCCTGACAATGTCTGGACATCCTCCTGATGAGTCGTCGGATGGTGTCCTGGGGGATCTCCTCCCAGACCCCCAGGTGTTGATCAGTCATAGTTGCTGCATGGCTGACGGAGAGCAGCACTGCTAAAAGAAACAAATCTTAACTGGATCTTTTAAAATATACAATGAATTAATTAATGACAAATTTTAAAGAAACAGAAATAAAGAGAAAATATAAAGAATTTAGGTACTTATCCAGTTTTTGCTTTCCCTGTCTTGCTTGTTTTATACTCCGGTCCAATAGGTGGCGGTAATGCGCCTTTAAGCTGGTTTCCTACCGCCATTAAACCCAAAAGTGGAAGAAGACGAGAAGAAGAAGAAGAAGAAGGGGCAGCTCCTATTCACATGTAGGTCATTGAACGTTAAGCAGTATTATTTAATGTCTTAAAATCATACATGTGCTCTCACTTTCATTCAGCTCATGTTGTTTGATACCGTTACATTATTGTTTTTATAATTATAAAGTTTAAGTAAACGTGGCAGCGTCACTAAGCTGGTAGCAGTGAAACAGCCTTCAAACTGAACATATGTTTATTTTTTAATTTATGGCTCCTGATGACCAAATTGCACTCACCCTGTCTGTTAGAAAAATGCATATTAAGCAGAAGCAGCGCCGAATATGTGAAGTTACTCGTTGCTGAGTTAGCTTTGTTTTT